ATAAAATTATGATCCAAGAAATGATATAAACAGAAAATGACCATTTACATTAATAATCGAAAAATAGTAGCAACAAGGTATGTGAAAAATGTAGATTGGTTCAAGTGCACTTGGATGGTTGAAACAGCAAACTACTCAGGAAAAGTGACTTAACAAGAGATAATAAAATTAAGAAGAAACCATCTTGATGCTTGAACTGTAAGCTGTTTAGCAAAAGTGATGTAACAACGGCTGACAAAATTAAGAAGAAACAACTTGAGTGAAGTGATCTTGGTATTGATATGTGAATTTAATGAATTTACAAATATCACTTTTGTGTACATTATATTTAACTTAAAAAATAATAACAGTGTTCCTATGGCCAACCTTTTTCAAGTTTGCTGTGTCCATGTCCTGACCAGTATCAATAGGCATGTCTGAGTAACATAAAAAGCAAGGTGTATAAATTTGGTTTCAGCTTTTCCATATCTTGAAGTTTCCAAGATTTTCTTATGCCTACAGTAATAATAAGGAACTAAAACGTATGCAGCAAAGTGAGGTGCAGTATCAAGTATCCATGACCTGCTTCTTCAATAACATTCAAAACTAACTGATATACAAGTTCGTTACTATTGGAAGCCACTTTAAATCATTCTTAGCAACCAAAAAACATAGACAAAACCTGTAACGACCTTGATTTTTATATACCATGCATGTGCACCATATATACCCAATTTATGTATTTTATCGTGTTCAAGTGTTTGTTAACTTTTCTTATTATATTTTCTAATTTTCTTATTTTTATATATGTTAATATTCAATAAAAATATATAAATATTAAAAAATAAACATGTATTATGATTTTTCAGGGATAATTGAGAGGTGCCAAGGTCAGATATCATCATGGTCAGATATCATCATGTTTTTTATAGACTTTTTTTAGCATGGACAGTTCTAGAGAAGTCTGAATTGCACCTTTTTGGTGCTTCTACAAAAGAGAACACGAGCAGATTTTCTTAAAGATTTTAGGCAAGTTGGCCTGATATTGAGTGTCTACAAGATTTTGTCAAATTATTTTTTTTTCATTTTTTGTAGACCTCATTTCAGTGGTCTTCATGCTTCCTACTTGTCATAATAATTTGATCACATTCAACAAAAAATAAAAACAAATAATCACCTGGCAAGTCTGCATCCAGAATTTTCCACTCTTGCATAATCTTCTTCATCCAAGCATTTGGCAGCTGCAATTTTCAAGACATTAAGAATAATTAATAATGTGTAAGAAACTTAAAAGAACATTGTAAAAGGAACATAGCCAAACCAAATTAACTATTTACCCCTTGCACGTTCTGGGTATGTTTGGCAAAATGATGATCCGAGCAGTTGGAAACTATATCAAATTGCTTAAATGGACGAGAATGATTATCCATTGAACTACTGGGGACGCAATCCTGTAATAATATTAACATATATCAGGACTATCCTTATTGCCATGATGGTACATACTACATAGTTCTACTTACTACAGAGTATTAGCGTTAAGGGCAACAAGCTTATATGGACTAAGTAAAAAGTTCTGACAAACTAAACTAATAGTAAACTTTAGAAAAAACATAAATTACAACAGTTTTTCTATAGAGTATCAATTTTCAAATAAAAAATGTGAAGGGTAAATCTTGAAAAACCTCTTAGAGTAATCAATAGAATTGAAAAAAAAAGCCTTACTAAATACAATAAACCCCTTAAATCTATATGATCAACAAATAACTAGAGGGAGATGTTATGATTCTAGTGATTATTTAAGATGGGGATTCTTTTTTAATTTTACTCAATCCTAAAACTCTTCAAAATTTCTCATCTTTATTTTGCATGTATTTGTGGTCTCGAAATCTTTAGTCCTATCTAGGGTCAACTTGTATAAGTCACAGCCCATTCACGTTGTGACTCATGGCTCAAGAGGTGGAGACTATGTTACCCGGGTACTTCATTATTGAAGCCGTACCCGTACCGGACACGTACCCGACACTTTCCCGTACCCAAACTTTATGGACACTTCTTGAATATATGCATACATTTATTACAACATGTACTCAATTATACGATATATGTGTTAATTTAAAACACTTGTCAAAGACTTCCTGAACGTAGAGCTTACACTTCACGTTCGTCTTTTAAAACTAATGGGATACGGGTCGGGTTCATTTCAGTCCATACCCAAGTTCAAAACTATATAGTTAATGGGTCGTTTAGATGTCTAGTAAAAAAATGAGTAGTTTACAATTCACGATAATCAATATGATAAAATAAACTCAAAAATATGATCGAAATTTTAATTCTAATGACATATGAAGCGGAAAAAATTATCTCATGTACATTATTAATTCAATATATATATGTAGTCGTGTCCTCGTACCCAACATTTTACAGTTTTTCCTTATCCCCTACCCGTACCCGCACCCATACCAGTAACCATGCCCGTTTCCATGCAACTTAGGGTGGAGAGAATGAATGTAAACTTAATTTCCCATATATGGCATATAACATGTTACATCAAATCAAATACTATTATAAAAGTGTGTTGGCATATTAAAATATTTCTTCTACAAATGCCCTCCAAAACTCATACATGCACACATAAAACACATACATACATACATAAACACATATACACACATAACACATTATTATCATTATTATTCATATTTTTTCATTAACTAATTATTGATTATTGATAGCAACATGCAATCCAAAAAAAACTTCTAATTAATTAATCCCATAATCACTTTCTAAGTCTAACGTCTCACCCCTCTCTAATTCCAGTAATTAATTGCCTTTGGTTTCCAAACATTTCCTCCACTCTCTCACAAACAAATGCACCGTTGGGCTCCTCAACTCACTTTAGCTCAAATAATGAATAATTTAATTGATAAATTTGGGTATAAAGCTATGAAAGAATTTTTGAAGGGACTTACCCATTTTGGTTGTGACCTCTAATCTCTTGAAAATTTTGGTGATCTTGCAGGTTGCGGGGGTTAATCAGGAGCTTCACAGGCAGGGTCGAGAATGAGGTTTGGGTAGTCATAGATGTGAGAGTGGGTCCGCTACTTACCAGAACATTAAATTAGTCTGATGTAAGGATGAAATTTTGCTAAGGCAGTGATCAAATTGTATCATTTTTAATATTTTTTAAGATTTGATTTTTTTAATGTTAAAATTAAGACTTCACCCGTAGTACATAGATGTATAGTAAGGTGAAATATACTCCTCAAGTCAAAGATTACTATGTTTTGGCAATTTGGTCTATTATGGAATTTGGTATTTTTCCTCTCAATCTTTCAATAATTGTTGTTCTGATATGTCATTCTTTTTGCCTAATTTTAGGTTCAGCGGAAAGGTCATGGAGATCAGATAATTGGCTTGTAACTTACATGCATATACAAATGATCTTTATAATTAGTTATTAATATGTTAGAATAGCTATGCCTTTTATGTGGTCATGTTATTATATTCAGTTAATAGGCAAGCAACTTTGTAACTTCCATGCAATATATACGTTATAATTAATAAATAATCTTTATAGTTATCTATTAATATGCTAGAGTAGCTATGCTTTTATGTGGTTTAGTGAGTATTCAGAGAACAAGATGTTGGACTTCGAATATGGGGAAAGCCAAGTGGGTCGGCAATCTTTAATTCATAACGTTCGACCTTTTAACTGCTACGTAACCGTTTGGCTTTTATGTAATAATAACTAATTAATAGGTAAACCTCTTCTTCATAACCTCAAGTAAATGAACCTCCCGCTCACGTCTTGAAGATGGTCTCCTTTTGAAATCAAACTACCAACTTCATCTTGATGAGACATTCATCATTCCATTACGGTCTTTGACACAGATAATAAGACACCTTGGAATTGACTTAATTTGCAAAAGATGTCCGGGAACGGCGTTAGGAGTATAATATATTAGGGAAATGTAAGTGTAGTGAATATAAATTTTCTTTTTAGTTTCTAACAATTGTTTTCTTTTAAAATCTTCTACGTGGCTGAAGATCATAACATATAAGCAATTGGACATTAATAGCAGAGCTTAGAAGTATCACTATGATTACAATCATATAGAAGTTAGTTTTTCCTTCAATTTTCTCTCATTTATTATGATCTATAATTTTGTTAAAAGGTTGATTATTTTATCTGAAAAAATAGTTTATTATTTAAAGCTAAATACCAAAGCAAGATTGGATCAGTACATGGAAGGAGGAAGAATTGCTCAGAAAAGAACGATGGGCTTCTCATGCAACAATATTTATTAGATTAGTTTGTTTTGGTTCCCATTCTAGCCATGAGTATACTTTATTCTCATTCCGACCCTAGTATGGTATCAAGACTAATTAATGCTTTATTTTTTGTTTTACTTTTCCTTTGTAGGTGGTTTACAAGTGGAAAGTTTAAAAAATCTTAGATTCCTTCAATTGCGAATGGATTCTGTAGTTTTTTAGTATAAATTTTAGGGAAATGTAAGTGTAGTGAATATAAATTTTCTTTTTTTAGTTTCTAACAATTGTTTTCTTTTAACTGCTTCTACATGGCTGAAGATCAAAACAGATAAATAGTTAGAAATTAATAACAGAGCCAAGAGGTATCACTGTGATTACAACCATATAGAATTTAGTTTTTCCTTCAATTTTCTATCATTTATTATGATCTATAATTTTGTTAAAAGGATGATTATTTTATCGTAAAAAATATTTTATTGTTTAAAAGCTAAATACTAAAGCAAGATTGGATCAATACAAGGAAGGGTAAAGAATTGCTCAGGAAAGATCAAGGGGTTTCTCATGCAACAATATTTATTAGATTAGTTTGTTTTTCTTCCCATTCTAGCCATGAGCATTTAGCGATCATAATTTTATTCTCATTCTGACCCTGATATAGTATCAAGATTAATTAATACTTCGTTTTTTTTACTTTTGCTTTGTAGATGCTTCACAAGTGGAAAGTTTAAAAATTTTAGATTCCTTCAATTGCAAATGGATTCTAGAGTTCTTTAGTTTCCTTCACAAGAAAATTTAAGGTCATTAAATTATTTTCCTCCTTGTGGTAATTTGCACGGACCTCTTTTACATTTTGCTCACTATTACTTATTTGTTTCAATAGATAAACTACATCATTCTACTACATCTATGATGAGTGACTTTTGTGAATGTATATATCGTTTATAAAACTTACTTAGCAGTCCGAAGTTCTATATTATTCTTTAAAAATTTATGGAGTTTTAAAACATATAGCGATTATCAAAGGGCTTGCATATGGTTAATTTTACAGTGAAGGATGTTTGCGCAATTCAAGTTTTTATTGTTGAAAAGAATATATCTCATTAATTTATTTTCAAAATTAACATTACTACATAAGATCAAGTATAGGGTTTTATGTTAGTGAATCACGTTGTGTGTGATATTATACACATATTTTCGTAAAGAATAATAGCTATATTAAACTTTAAAAAAAAAATATTTCTTTGTTTAGAATCTCTTTTGTTAGAAGAAAAGGAAAAATTTCTATATTTTATATTATTATCTCCATAATATATTTTCATCTATATTTTATATTATTATCTCCATGAAATCTAACCTTGACTTTAGTGAACTTTAGTCTATATAATTTTAATATGCTCTATTCTATGGGGCCAAACTTTGAATCCAGACTAATTGTTCAAACAAAAATAAACCTTTTATTTTGTACCAATATGAGGTTCTTTTTGAAAATACAAGTTGATTTATATGACTTCAAATGAACGCGCAATACACACAAACTTATTTATTCTATATTTTTTACGAAAGAGACTCTCATTAGTTGAATAATTAATTGAAATTTATTTATTTGAACAAATAATAATTATGCACATGTGCAATGCACGTGCACCTAGTGTATATAAAATTTTGTTCAATTTCTATTCCATTAAACTGAAAATTTACAAGTTTGGATAAAACTGATATACAATTGGCTATTTTTCCTCTTTGTCATCTTCTTTTATTTTTTTATTTTGATCCAATTTCAAACAGACGCGCATAAACACATCCATACATCTGCTTTTCTTAAATATTCCTCCAGACACCAAATAAATTTCAAGGAAGAAAATTTTAACCAACAGTATAAAAACAAACAAAATAATAGAAAGAGAGTAGATTTACGCTCTGTTGGCGCTTCGATGGGACAGAATTACAAGATACGATTCCACAGAAGAAATTTTGCCTGCAAAAAAAAAATACAAATTAATCAAGAAAAGGAGTTAGCGGCGACCGACTCTCTTTTAAGGATCAAATTTCCTACTCGGAACTGGAGGAGGAGGAGTTGGTAACGGGTTTCGGATCCATTGATCTGATGATGAGGTTTGAGAAGGCTTAATAGGGTTTTGAGATCGGGAATAGGAAGAGGAACAGTTGGAGGAGGGAAAGGAACCCCTGCTGCAAAAAGGTTGCAACTCAAATCTCTCTTCTGATGGGCTAGGTTTGTTATATAAGAGTATTGGGTGGGTCCCGCTGGTACTAAGTGAAGCAAAAATACGGATAGGAATTCTATATATCGGAAACGAAACTAATGGAGTAGGATGATTTGCACCCTCTAAATAGAATAACTTAAATTTCTTTTAATTAACTCAATAATCATTCTCCAATGGTATAGATTAACCATTTTATAGAGATCTTTTGATAAAATCTATACTCGTATAAATACAATATAATCAATCCTACAATTAACTCTATGTAGGGCTCACATTTTTGCCTCATGTAAATTTAAAAAGAAAATAAAAAAGTCTAATTAACTGCTGGCCAAGCTTCTTCTTTCTTTTCCAAATTAGGAATGCCAACAAGATCCACACCATTTACCAAATATCGGGGGTGCTAAAAGAGGGGTAAAGTAGAAAGTTTTATAGAGTAGTATAGGTAAAATAGTAAACTTCTTAGCCAAAACTTGCTTATTTAATTGAGCTATTAAACTAGCTTTTAAAAAAATTTGAAATCTTAACCTCGTGGCTTAAAAGTTAGTTTGTTAGGATGTTACCAAATAAATAGATATGAAAAAGCTACTTAAAAACACTTTGACCAAAAGGATCTTTCATATTATCAAGTGATCTTATGTGATTATCTAGACTGTATTAAGTAAACCAATCTATAATATTATCTACAAAATATTGGATAATTAGATTCAAACTATAAAGAATCCAAGTCTAGGTCCAAAAATGAGAAAACTAAATGCATTTTTATGGTTTATATATATATATATATATATTATGTAGTATAATATATATTTATATATATTAAGGGAGTAATTGAAATAGAGGGAAGTTATCCTACTATGGCGCTGATGTGCCAGATCTCAGCCACGATCTGGTTTCAATGTTTTAATCAACTGAGGTAATTTTGCAAAAAACATATGTGATTAGCATGGACACTACATAGCTTTCAATGAAACAACCCGCCCAATCAGTTGTCGATAACCACCCCCGAAATCGTGATTTCTCTCTCTCTCCTCAAAGCCCATCGCATTGAAACAGACCCTCCCCTCTCTCGACACAGACTACATTTGCTCTTCCTCCTCGCGCCCCCGCCTCCCCTGTCGTCGACGACACTTGGTTCCCCCGCCCAAACACCCCTACTCACCACTCCTCCTCCCCGCTCTAACGACGACGACAAATTCCCACCGCCTTCTCGACGAACCTCCTCCTCCCGCCGCTCTCGACGATCGAAGCCAATAATTTTCTCACGCAAAGCCCACCACCCGCTCTCTGACGACGCGACCGCCGCCTCCGCCTCCCGCTCATCGCCTCCACGTAAGAAACGCACCGGCTCCCTCCTCCCTATGTCGACGCATTGAAGTTTGTAACACATTGATAATTGTTTCAGGGCTACGAGATGACAATGAATGTTGAAACAGATGATGTGCTATCCATTGGACTAAGTGAAAATGTTGTAAGGCATAATATTATGGATGTTGATGGTGAATTGCATACAACTCTTGTAGGCCCAAATGAGATGACTTTCATAGGAGAGGCGCCATACGAGGGAAAAGAATTTGCTACATTGGAGGAGGCATACAACTATTACAATTCTTATGCAAAAAAATGGGTTTTGGAATCCGCAAGGAATCTGCCGATAAGTCAAGAAAGACAAGAGAAATTATTTCTCAAGTTTTTGTTTGCAACAAGGCAGGGAGAAAAAGGTTATCAGATAAGAGAGAGTGTGAGAAACTTGTCAATCGTCGTCCAGATACTAGAGTGGATTGTCCCGCAAGAATGAAGATTAAGTTGACTTCCTCCAAGACATGGATTGTCACGAAGTTTGAGGCAGAGCACCCAACCCATCTATTATCGAGCCCTGATAAAGTGTTTAATCATTATTCCCACAGGCAAAGCCATCGCTCGAAGACTTGCAAGAGAATTATTGAGAATTTGAGTGAAGAAGGAATGGCTCCTTCTACTATTGCTCGAGTGTATAATGTTGTGTCTAAGAGTATTGATGAAGAATATATTACTGCACAACAATGTATTGATCACATCAGAACTAGGAGGAAGAACAACATTGACAATGAATGCATATCCATCATAAAGAATTTTCAAGATAGGAAGGAAATCGATCCAGAATTTTACTTTTCCATAGAGCTGGATCAGACGGGGACTTTGAGGAGCGTGTTTTGGGCTGATGGGAGATCAATATCTTCTTACTTAAGTTTTGGAGATGTAGTGGTGTTCGACGTTACATATAAAACCAATCATTTGAGCCTACCGTTTGCTCCATTCACAGGTGTAAATCATCATCGACAGTCCATTCTCTTTGGTTGTGCGTTACTTGCAGATGAGCAAGAGGATACCTTTATTTGGTTGTTCACCCAATGGCTAAAATGCATGCATGGTGTTGCACCAAACGCAATTATCACCGATCAAGATGCACAAATAGGAGGAGCTATCAGACAAGTTTTTCCTAATACCCGACACCGTTTTTGTTCTTGGCATATTGGCAGACATATTGCTGAGTAGCAACTTCCAATGAAAGCACAATATGGAGATGAGATTTCTACATATTTTGATAAGTGGTATCGAGCTAGCACTATTCACAAATGTGAGGAACGTTGGAAGATTTTAAAGGAGAATTTTAATATAGATGAGAGTGTAGATAGTTGGCTGACGAGGATGTACAGATTGCGTGCACACTGGGTAGATGCATATTTGAAAGACATATTTTGGGCAGGAATGACAACTAGTCAGAGGAGTGAAAGTATCAATGCATTTTTTGATGGTTATGTAAATACAAAGACTAGGCTTGTGGATTTTGTATGCTAATATGACAAAGCCTTAGCAAATCGTCGTGCATCTGAATCTCGAGAAGACTTTATGACATTGAATACTGTGCCTGCAATGTGCCTTCGACATCCAATTGAAGTGCAAGTTAGCAAATTATATACTAGGGGGATCTTCAAAATATTCCAAGATGAGCTTACTAATGGCTTATCACTTTTTCATGAAGAAATACTAAAGGAAGAGCCAAAAACAATTTATCTAGTTGGTGATTTTTCTGAAGAAAAAGATAAATGGGAAGAAGTTACATATGACAAATCTAGCGGGTTTATGGTCAAATGCTCTTGTGCACTTTTTGAAACCGATGGGATCCTTTGTAGACATATATTGCATATCATATGGTTTCTTCAGTTGACTGCTGTTCCTGATAATTATATATTGCAAAGGTGGAAAATTGATGCAAGACACAAAAACATTAGATTTTTTAATGATATGGATGTAAGAAGCAATGAAGGTAGCATGGAACAGTGCGATATTATTAGATTGTGGGCAATTCGAGCCAGATTCAATGCTACCCTTGAGATGGCTTCATGTTCAGCAAATGCCATTTCTATGGTGGAGAGAATGCTACAAGATATCACTATATCAGTTGAGAAGGAAGTAAAGCTTAATGAAATTCATATTGCAAACTCTCAAATTGGAAGCCAAATTAGTTCAAATGCAAATGTAGTATTGAGAGATGGTGAAGAAATTTTAATTCGTGATCCTAGTGGCCCAGTCAAAACAAAGGGTCGTCCAAGAGGTGCTAGCAGGTACAAATCAGGAATTGAAGAGTCGCAATCGAAAAAGGATATAAAACATCGGAAATGTGGGAATTGTCAACAATTGGGTCACTATAAGACCGGTTGCCCGTTGTTGGTAAGTTACTTGAGAATTCATCTTGTAATATATTTATTTGTCGCTCATTTGATTTATTGTTTGTGCACAACTTATGAATGTTTTCCATGAATAGAAAAAGTAACAGCCTTTTAGGAGCATTTTGGAGCATTTTTGGAGCATTTTGGAGCATTTTTAGAGCATTTTGGCTGTAGTTTCCTATTTTGGTAGCTGAGAAGCCTCTCATCGAAGGACTGATTAGTGCTTGAAGACTACGTTTTATCTACTTAGCTTTTTATATAGTTGTTTTCCTATTTCATGCTTGAACTTGTACTTTGTTATTTCTTACATTTGTGTTCGAAGGACTGATTATGTAGTGTTCGAAGGACTGATTATATAGTTGTATTTGTTACTGGTATGAACATCTATGTAGTTGTATTTGTTACTGATTATGTAGTGTTCGAAGGACTGAGCAGTGCGACATTGATATAGTTGCTATTTATATTTTGTTCGAAGGACTGATTATGTTGTAATTGTTACTGGTATTTGTTACTGATTATGTTGTTCGAAGGACTGATTTTTGTTCATTAACCTTTGTTACTGATTATTGTTCGAAGTTATACAAGCTTATCCTCCCAATTATAAATGCTTCTCCTACTAAAAACTCAATAACCACCAATAGCTCATTTGTGCTCAGTAGAATTAGTGGATACTATAAAACTCAATCATTGTTGAAACCCATATCAGCAAATCTTCAGTTCACAATTATTTATGAATGTGTGTGCAACTTTATTTATGTTTACACCAGTGTTTTGTTGTTATGTGTATTGAAAGAACCATGAAGAGTGAAAGAATTAAACACGCGAGTGATTGAAATGATCCAATAGCCCTGAGCCTCCTGGCATCAAATTCTTAAGAACCTGAGTAGTGATGATCCAATAGCCCTGAGCCTCCTGGCATCAAATTCTTAAGAACCTGAGTAGTGAACATGGTATGTTCAAATCATGACCTATTATCCTCGTTATGCCTATCTTAAGAACCTGAGTAGTGAACATGGTATGTTCAAATCATGACCTATTATCCTCGTTATGCCTAGGCATAATTTTAGAGTTTTCATTACTCTATGGTCTCAACTTCTGCTATTTCATTAATAATTTGATTCTGGGGCATTGGAAAACTGTGATACTGGACATAAATTTCAGTAGAAACAGTATGCTAATGCTCTTATAATCAGTAAAAACTGTGATACTGGGGCATTGGAAAACTGTGAAACCTGACCAGTATGTATAGGTCAATAAAAACAGAAAAGTCATGATGCCTTCATCAATATAATCATCATTCATCAATATAATCAGTATGCTAATGCTCTTATAACAAGAATATAACCTTACTCTAGGAAAACATGCATTGAACTCTTGATAAATTTAGCTGCTGCTTTCTGGTAGCTGTTGATTACCCAGCTGCACAATCGTACTCAAATGCAAATCACAACTCAGAATGAAATACGAGGTTTCATTTATAATAGAGTGATAGACAAGTTTAAAGACACGAGCCATATATGCTTCAATACAACCCCACAAGGTACAAATTCAAGCATGAAATAGGAAAGCAACTATATAAAAAGCTAAGTAGATAAAACACAGTCTTCAAGCACTAATCAGTCCTTCAATGAGAGGCTTCTCAGCTACCATGGATTTTGATGTGCTCCTTCTTCACAATGCCCGCCTGCACAACAAATGGAACCAAAGTTTCATTGCCCAATGAACCAAAAGCAAGTAATCAGTCCATAGCTTACTATAGCTTACTGATAGCATGTTTTCTCAAGACCAACTCATCCAACTCAATTACAATACAAAAAAGATGCTGAAAAAACATGTGCACAGTACTTCTGGTAAGAAGAAAACTGATATCTTCGTCAAAAAATGTGGAAATCTATTTTCTAGTTCAGAATTGGAAGATGAATACTACTGGTAAGAATCTTACCTCGTCAAATTAACAATATATTATTGAATTTTCTCAAGGATGGTGAAGAAATATCAAGATCTAAAGAGTTGGGCAAATTTATGGTAGCAGAATCCGTCAATTCCATTAAGAATTCAAATTGTTGACTAAATTGCCTGGATCCAAAATCGCAGCCTACCAATCGATTCAATATCTTGATCAGAATCTCATATTTCCATTAGATCGCTGGGTATACACAATATTCCCAATCTGATGAACAGATACTCATCTATACGAATAGTATATTGTAGGGTTTCTAATCACTTTTTCAGACATTACCTTATCTCGGCGTCGGCGTCGGCGACGACAGCGGGAGGCGGGGGCGGGAGGAGGAAGAGGCAGAATCACGGCGTCTTCGTCGCCAGCGGGAGGCGGAGGGAGGGTGTTTGGCGGTGGGAATTTGGGGAGAGAGAGATCACGAGGGGGGTGGGGGTAGGGGTGGCGTTGGGGTGGTGTGACTGGGGCGGTGGGAATTGGGGAGAAGGATCACTGAGGGGGGTTGGGGTCGTCGTCGGGGTCGAGAGCCGGGGAGATCAGCGTCGGCGGTCGACATAGGGAGGAGGACGGGTGTCATCTTCTTGACAGCGGGAGGCGAGAGGCGGGAGGAGAGGTGGGTCGTCGGTCGCGAGAGGGCGCCGCGTGGGGGTGGTGGTTTGGCGGAGAATAATCATTTGGCGTCATCGTCGAGGAGCGACGGGAGAGAGGTTCGTCCGAGAGGCGGTGGGCAATTGTCGTCGTCGTTAGAGCCGGAGGGAGGAGGCGGTGGGTAGGGGGGTGTTGGCGCTGGGGATACCACGAGTGTCGTCGACGACAAGCGGGTAGGGCGGGGGCGGGAGAGAGAAGAGCAAAGTGGGCTGTCGTCCGTCGAGAGCGGGGGGGAGGAGTCTGGTTTCATGGCGCGGTGGGAATTTGGAGAGAGAGAGAGAGAGAGAGAGAAGAGAGAGAGAGAGACGAGAGGAATTCACCGAGATTTTGGGGGGCGTGGGTTAATCGACAGCTGATTTGGGGGGGTGGTTCTAATGAGCAGGCTCCATCTGATGAACTGGTCCACACAACTCAGCCATAGGAGGGTGTTTTTTGTCAACATACGCTCAGGATTTGATTAAACCATTGAAACGCAGGATCTGTGTGCTGAGATCTGGCCACATCAGGCGCCCATAGGAGGAAACTGCCCATCCCTTATGTCAATGAACCCCGCATTATCTCTCTCGACTGTCTTCTCTCTCTCACTATATATATATATATATATATATATATATATATATATATAATATAGTATAATAATTATATATATATATATCATATAATATATGAGAACTGGTAGGTGGCGGCTGGCAGCTCTCCGTTTACGTGAGCTGCAGGTGCTTTTTCAAAAAAAGCGGTACTGTTACGCTCCATCCGTTAAATCAACACGGTGACCCCGCAAATCGGCCAAATCGGGAGCCTCTCTCCCTCTCTCTTCTCACCACAGAGATCCCAATCGGACATCTTTCCCTCTCTCTTTCCTCGGATCCTGACCTCGTTATTACTCCCCCGTCTGTACCTCCTCCCAAAGCGGTCGGAGATCTGGCCCCTCCCGCCCGTCCCCTCCAAAATCAACAACGCGCCGGAGATCCAGTTCGGCCAAGCGGCGCGTCTCAGCGCGACGCAAGCCGCCGCGAGTTCCATCTTGATCCCTCTCTCGAGCCGACCAAGCCGCCGAGAGATCTCCCCTCCCTCGGTCCGCCTCCCAAATCTGAGCCGCCGCGCGCCTACAGCCGCCAACCCCAGCCCCGATTTCCCTGTCAGGTAAAATTTTAAAAATCTCTTCTCCCCATAGCTTTAATTCAATATGCTTGTAGACTTTGTTGCTTGATTCCTTGTTATTTTCTTTCTTTTTTATTTTTGTCAATTAAGTTAGATCTATAGTGGGAGGTAAAGGAATGTTGACTGTAAACTTAATTACAGGAAATGTTGATATGGTATTTTGATATGGTATTTTGATAGCTTTGTGTTAGACAGACTCATTGTTATTATGCGCAAGATTGGAAGAATACATGGGCTGCCAGAGTAAAAATGATTAATAATATGCGCAAGATTGGGAGAATACATGGTATTATGATAGCTTTGTATTTTGATAGCAATGTTGATATGTTATTATGCATCCTACAGCACTTTCATATGTGAGAACTGTTATAACCTTAACTGTACATGAGCTGCCAGAGTAAAAATTTATACAGCTAGGTCAATCAAGTTTGTAAATAACAAAGAATACATGGGCTCTCTTTTTTGGTCTTTTAACTTCTTTGTTGTATTAGGTTTGGTTAATATTTTTCCATGAAAGTTCATAACACATAAAGTTTGCATTTAGTGCAATTATATGATTAATTTGTCATGTGATTTGCAGCTAAACGAAAATTGGTCTGGATTCTTGAGCACCACATGCATGGATTTGTGGAAGGTAATGGTTAATACATACGAAATAACTTGTACATTGCGATTTTTTTAAATATAACGTGTTTTTTTAATGTTTTTAATACAGATGAAGTTCTCACTATTGCGTGAAATTTCTGTGCAGAAATGGGAAGCTACTTGGAAATGTAGACTGGAAATGGTTTTGAGTTTATTCTGTAATGGAAGCTACTTGGAAATGTAGACTGGAAATGGTTTTGAGTTTATTCTGTAATGGAAGCTACTTGAAATGTAGACTGGAAATGTACTATTGTTTTGAGTTGTCAGGTGTGCCTCAACAGAAGCGATGATGTGCAGAATATTATTTATCTTGCTGTTAGTGCATGAATTAGTGAATATATATGTAGACATTTATGTTCTCATCTTGCTGTTAGTGCATCTTGCTGTTAGTACATTTTATCAAATTTCACATTGTGTGTTTTCATCTTGCTGTTAGTAGACATATTATTTATGTTCTCATCTTGCTCAAAAGCATAAATTAGTGAAGATTTATAGTGTTTTGTGTATGGATGGATGATGCTGTTACAACTTTCCCACTGCAATGTTCTCTGTAAGCACTGCAAGTTGCTGTCCTAAAAAGTAATGTAATGCTGTTCAGAAAATGAGCCAGTGCAAAGAGCATCTTTGACAGTAAAATGGCGATGCAAATCACGATACATACGTGGTGTCTACAAGAACATTTTTTATTACAGAGTGGAGATGCTGATTACAATACCACATCTTCTAATGTCTACATTAACATCTCTGATAACCAAATGGAGATGCAAATGCAATAGAAAAAAGCTCAACAACAATTTGTAATGTCTAAATAACATTCTGTACAAGAAAAAAAGCTCAAAAACAAACCAAAGCTTGAGGCACAAATAGCAGTAAAGAAAAGATAGATAACTGTAGGAAAATTATTAACAAAAAAAGATAACTGCAGAATAGGAACACTGAACAACTCATTAGCATCACCAATTCTTTGTACTGCAGATATGAAGCAAGATTGCTAATCAACATCACCAGTTCTTTACTACAGATATGCACACATTATAGAACATTTATGCTGGTTTCCCTTGCCCCAATTTTACTACAAACAGGTTGCATGTCTCTTTTTTATTTTTTTCAAACACTTTTACATGCTTCTTTACTTCTTTGCATTCTTTTTTCCTTTCTTGATCTTGAAAAAACGTGCCTCTTCAATACTTTAATATCAGCAGAATGAGGCAGAGAACAAACCTCACTCAGTTTGTGCATCGGAAACTTAAATATGCAATACATGGAGAACATACACTTCAACAAATCCAATAATACATTCTTACACCCTACTTGCACAAATCCAATAAAAATACCAAATACAAATCCTAGAAAAATACCAAATAAAAGAGCAAATATAACAAGCTTCAACAAATCCAAAATATCAATCTCAATCTCTCTTTTTTCCCGCACTTCTCCACTTGACACGGCTCTTGAATCAAGTGGAACAAGCTCTGCCTTTGAATCTATGATCCAGGTCCTAGTTTCAGGTCTGGAGAGTATAGCCCTCCTTCCACAATGGCACAACAGTCCATGACGATTGCTTGAAGATGACTCCATGATCCACGACTACAGATACAAAAGATACCATCAAGCAATAACGACGATCACAATTGGAAACCATCAAACATAATGGGGAATAGTTGACTAAGCCAAGGTACTCAATTCCCTGACCAAAAATCTGCATATTTACCAGCTTCAAGAGAGATTACATGGCTAGTGAGATACATTACACAAGTTTAACTGGAATTACAACAGAAACATGCATTGGAAGTGTCATTGTCTGAGCAAAGTGATTTTGGTTCCTCAATTCCCTGACCAAAGTCTAGCAACTAATACAGCTTCAAGAGAGATTACATGGCTAGTGAGATACATTACACAAGTTTAACTGGAATTACAACAGAAACATGCATTGGAAGTGTCATTGTCTGAGCAAAGTGATTTTGGTTCCTCAATTCCCTGACCAAAGTCTAGCAACTAATATTACACTAATAAAGTTCTGATATTTTACTAATTACGCCATCCACAAGAAAAAGTAAACCCTCTACCCCCTCGTACAAAAAATTAACCTGGATATTTTACTAATTACGCCAAGATGGCTTGTTCAAGCACCTAGGACTGTTATATAATCATTTTGGAGGTAAAAAAATTGCTAAATTAGCAAAAATTGGCAATCCAGAAAGTTGATAACTCATAATGAGTTTATTCATCAAAGTTCTCTCTTATATCATTTTATTAGAGTACTTTGTTTAATTTCTCAAGTAAATCGTCTGTTCACTTTGTAAATATCTCATCGCTTCTCATCTTTACGTTGCAATATTTTAGCCTACTTGTTACAACAAATTAGAATAGTCAATGAGCTAAGATAATTATGTGCCCACCATGGGGCTCAACATGAGTTGGTCCTCCACATGCTACATTTGGTTACGCTATCAAGAATAGGTTGTTTGCCATTTTGCGGAGAGAGACCCCCCCTTCTTGTCCTTCTACAAGGATTTACTTATAAATAAGCCTTCGAAATAAATTTTTATTTTTGACCAGTGAGTGTATTTTATGTATCCTACATCATCCATCTAATCAATTTCCTCGACGTTCCTAACTTCCATCACCAAAACTGTTTAATACTTGTTGGAACCACCTCACAACAAATCAAATTGCTAGAAGAAACGAATCTCATCGTCTTGCTTGCTTGCTTGCTTATTTTAGATTTAGTTTAATATTCACTTTAAATCCCTACAAACAGATCTTACACAGTGTAAGAAATAGATGTAAACAAGCCTTTTTATGTTTATTTTTGTTGATTTTTTCTTAATTAAGATGGATCGAGAGAGGGATCAAGAGGGATTTTTAGAAATGTTACCTGACAGAGAACTCTCGGCGCCACAGATGGAACTCTCGGCGGCACAGATGGAACTCGCGGCGGCACAGAGAGAGGGGGGGCCGGAGACTCTCGTGACGAAGTGTAAGAAATAGATGTAAACAAGCCTTTTTATGTTTAGTTTTGTTGATTTTTTCTTAATTAAGATGGATCAAGAGAGGGATCAAGAGGGATTTTTGGAAATGTTACTGTAGGCGTCTAAAATTGTCTACGAGAGCCCACACGAAACTCGAAGCAATGAATGGGCGAGTCAAGAAGATTCGTCAAACCAACTCGTGCGCGTCGGTCAAACGCGTGCACGTCAATCAACTCGTGCGCGCCAGTCAACGCGCGCACGTCGATCAGCCCGTGCGCGTCGGTCAACGCGCGTACGTCGAATCAACTCGTACGCGCCGGTCAAACGCGTGCACGTCAACCAACTCGTGTGCGCCGGTCAACGCGCGCACGTCAACCAACTCGTGCGCGCCGGTCAACGAGTGCACGTCAAATCACCTCGTGCGCGCCAGTCAACGCACGCACGTCAATCAGCCCGCGCGCATCGATCAGCACGCGTATGTTAACCAACGCGCGTTCGACGATCGGTCTCGCGACGAAGCATACAAGTCAACAAATCGAACGAATACGCAACAAGAACAAGTCCCGGAAGAAAGAAACCAAAAAAAAAAAAAAAAGTCGGCGAACCCGCGCTAAGCGCAGGACGGAATGATCCGACCCGCGCAAGCGCGGGACGGATCAATCCGACCCGCGCAAGCGCGGGTCGGATGATTCCGACCCGCGCATGCGCGGGTCGGATGTTTCCGACCCGCGCAAGCGCGGGTCGGATTATTCCGACCCGCGCGAGCGCGGGTCGGATGTTTCCGACCCGCGCAAGCGCGGGTCGGATTATTCCGACCCGCGCGAGCGCGGGTCGGATGTTTCCGACCCGCGCAAGCGCGGGTCGGATTATTCCGACCCGCGCGAGCGCGGGTCAGATTGTTCTGCCGCGCAGTCTAATGTCCCAAACACGTTTTGACGGTTTTTAATTGGTTTTTTACAGGGTTTATCGGTTCCAGGGGTTCTTAACTGACTTGAGATCATCCTCAAACGTGGTTAGGCTGCTGTTGACTAAAGATAGAGCCAAATCCCTTGTTCTTATCCAAATAACCGCATTTTGAGGCCTATAAATATGAACCAAAGGCCTCCATTTTCTGGATCTGGAATTTTATCAAGAGGACGAGGTGCTGCTGGATTGGAGAGTGAAGGAGCACGAAATTTCAGCAAAGGACAGCGAGATCCCGGTGAACTTCGGAGCAAAGGAGAAGCCGTTCGAAGGATCTGAAGCTCGTACGTCCGTTCCTTGAGATTAGGCTTTGTCTTAATCTCGAGAAGAGCCCTGAAATCGCTTTGTCGATTCCAGGACTTCAAGCAAATACCCCCTTGGTGAGGTAGAAGCTCTGCCCAATTTTCTGCAACCGGATCTGATTCGAGGTCGTCCACGGATTAACCCCGGCACCGGCGAAGAACCCACGCAAGCAAGAGCCGATAAACGGATCTTGCGTTTATTTTCAAGAAAGTTGTAATCTTTTGTTCTTTTGTTATTTGAATTCATTTGTAACGCTTAAAGTTTAATGAAATCAATGACTAAGGTGACTTTCGACGAAAACACCATAGAGTAATGCTTAGTATTGATATTAAAAAAGTATTTGACACTATTAGCTGGAAATTTTTGAGAGATCTGCTTATTGGCCTGGGCTTCCCAAATAAGGTGGTGGGTTGGATTATGACATGTATATCTTCCCCTTCTTATTCCATTTCTTTAAATGGACCACTCTATGAATTCTTCAAAGGTAAAAGGGGTTTGAGACAGGGAGACCCTCTATCCCCATATCTCTTTATCTTGGGTATGGATTATCTCTCGAGATGCTTGGATTTATTGAAGAATGACAATCAATTCAAATTCCATCCTAAATGTAAAAGACTCAAGATATCTACTACTTTTTAGCAAGGGAGATATCATATCAGTTCAAAAACTCTATCAATGTATACAATATTTTAGTGCATCTTCTGGGCTTGAAGAAAATCCTAATAAGTGTCATATTTTCTTTGGTGGTGTGAATGAAAGAGTTAAGTCTTCTATAAATGACTTGTTGGGCTTCACTGAAGGCACTCTACCTATCAGATACCTTGGAGTCCCCCTCATATGCAAAAGGCTTTCCTATATTGAATGTCATCCTCTACTTAACAAGATTAACAGTCAATTTCAAAAATGGTCTTCCAGGAACCTCTCTTATGCAGGAAGAATACATGTT